ATAAATCAATGTGATAAATCATGCTTCTCTGGTAAAAGCAGGTTGAAATAAGAGAGTGGCACTGGTTTGTATGTAAGATATCCCTGATTTGTCCTTTTTCTATCTTGCATGAATTTTAAGATTGGGATTAGGTGCTGTGTTTCATTGTTCTAACCCTGATAATCTCCCTGTAACAGCTGGCCCTTCAGGGTGGTGCTGATGGCGGCGCTGACAGCCCAGGCTCCTACTCCAAGTGGCCCGGCAGTCCAAACTCCCACAGTAACGACGACTACGAAGCCTGGAATGGCTTCAGGCCTCGGACCAGCTCCAATGCCAGCACCGTTAGTGGCCGACTTTCACCCTTTGTGCCTGAGGACGACCTGGGGGAATCCGACGTGCACATGGGCTACCCAGGAGCTCCGGGATCGAAGATGACAGCGACACTGCCCAGTCTCACCGAGATGACTGGATCTCTCGGACATAGCTCTGAGAATGTCATGGAGAACCTCCTGGACAACCTGAACTTGCTATCGCCCAACAACTCACAGGTTAGAGGGGGGGCGACAACTCCAGGCTCCTCCCAGTCCTCCCCCTCACCAATGATGCAGCCCAGCCCCAGTTACCCAGCCTACAGCTCCCCGAGCATGGGCTCCCAGTCGCAGCAGGAGTTCCACGAGTGCGTCTATGGCCAAGCTGGAATGAACACAATGTCATCTATGCCTCTGCAGACTTTGTCAGAGAGTAAACCTGGCTTTGTGCCCAGCATGGGGCAGTACAGCTGTCCCGCCGGGCTGCTGAAGGAACTGCTGACGTCAGACACTGATCAACACAGTGAGTTAATGCCGTCAGTCGACACCGTGGTATCTCAGTCCAGCAGTGGCTGCATGCTGCCTTCATACAGCAGCAGCCAGCATGCAGCCAAACTCATGGCAGGAGGGAACACTCACCCGCATGGTCTTTCTCATCCCCACCCTCACAACATGCATAACCAAGGGCAGGCTACATCACCAGCTATGAACGGCCGCCTGTTGATGTCACTGAGCTACAATGGGGGGAGCACACGTTTACCTGTGGCCAAAAGCCCCATGCAGATGCCCTATGGCCTACCTGGGCACCTTAGTGGGGGAGGAATGCCCAGCAGCTTCTGTCCTCTTAACACCAATGGATATGGCCGAACAGGCATGATGGTACCCTCACACATGGAGAAACTTCCCAGCGACCTGGATGATATGTCCATCGAAAAGTTTGAGATTGACGTAGAAAGGGTGCTCCATGAAACTCTAATGGACGGTGACTCCCTGGACTTCAACTTTGAGCCAGTTGTGACCCAACAAGGTTTCCCACACGGAGTGAAGACCACCACACACAGCTGGGTGTCTGGGTAAAAAGCGAAGGCAATCTGAGATTGATTCATCTGACACATTGCTGTTTGGGCAAAGAAAGAAAATGAAATTACATGAGAATAAAGGTTCTCATCCCAAGAAATCTGTGCCCCAGCAAGATTCCTGCTTCAAGATGATATTTATAGGCAAAATGACTTCTACAGACCTCTGTGCATGTGTCAACTTTAGAACAGAGATCAGGATTGTTTTCAAGTGCCAAACATTTTGCCTTAACAAGAGAGCCGAACTGAAACACATCGAGTGGCTTGAAAAAATATTAACACCTCTTTATCTTTTTTATATATTTTATCAAATTAAGATCAAAGAATTTAGTATATTTTACTGGGATTTTATGAGAAAACCAAATATAAGTGTGACTCTAAAATAATTGAACGATAATAACCCTTGTTTAAGATCTACATCAATACATTAACATTAACTGCAATTACAGCACTTTTATGTCCTGTTAGGGTAGATAATTTTTCCCTATTGGAATTTGGTTATGTAATATTGGAGATGAATATTAGATCAATAAAAATGTATAAATGTTTTCCCATTTCTTTTTGGAAATTAGCTTAAGCTCAGCCAGATTGGACGAAACAACAACAATTTTCAAGTGTTTCAACTGTCTCTCAAATGGATTTGGGTCTTTACATTATCTTGGCCTTTCTAACACTTAGATATTATTTGATTCCATTCCATCTGTTTTAGAAGATTTAGGTTAATGTTCCTGCAGCCAGCCTGAAGCCTTATCTAGGCTCTAAACAGTATTATTTCCATTGTTTCCCTGGATTTCTCCACCAAATCTCCCCATTATATTCCATATACGTAATGAAAAGAAAATACATCTGACTGCAGCATACTACCACCTCTGTGTTTCAGCATGCATATGGTGTGCTCAGGGTGATTTGCAGTGTTTTCTCCATAACAATGTTTGCTGTGTCTCTTACCTGCTTTTGGCAAATTGTAAACAGGGCGTCTTTTCAATGCTGGCATTATTAGTCCTGCCACTTAGTTTTCGAATAGCAGATGTTCATTTGATTCTTGTATTTAGATATAGATATCAACAACTCCTCTAGAGTTACCACAGGCTTCTTTTAATTTTCAGATAATACACATCTGTCTTGTCCGGTGTGCTCATTGATTTTTATGATACCATAGATAAACACAGATGGACTTTGCCATTAGCTAAAGCCAATTGAACTGGATTTGAATCCAAAAGCACAACATTTATTTAACATTATTTGGAAAATAACTTAACTTCAACTTTTTGGAGGGAGTGGCGGCCTAGTGGTTAGGGCCTTGCACTTGGATCCCAGAGGTTCTGAGTTCAAGCCTCACTCCCATAGACTGCCACTGTGGGTCCCTGAGCAAGGCTCCCAAGGCGCCACACAATGGCAGCCCACTGCTACCCAAAGGGATGGGTTAAATGCAGATAGTGAATTTTGTTGCTTTGTACTTGTTAGAATGTAATGACAATAAAAGTTGTATTCTATTCTTCTATTCAGAATGTATTTTGGTCTTTCACATAGAATCCCAGTGAAACAAATTTGTAACTCTTCAAGTAAAAGAAGAAGCTAAAGGGGTGCAGATACATTTGCAAGGCAGTGTCTTTCCTTTTACACCGCCAAATACAGTACATCTTCTCGTCATCAGCAACACAACAATCTACAGATGGGGAGACTCAAAATGTATGGTGTGTCCCACAGATAACCGATTTTTAACTGACAAATGATGAAGGTAACATTGTCTTGTTGGTTTTTGGACTGAAATGCTTAAAAATGAGATATATCTCAGAGGACTCTGATGTTACATGAAAAACATGCTTCTTGCCTGAGTGTATATAATGTAATCAAAAAGTTTGTAATATTTGGTTTCTTTTCTTTTTTGTATGGAGTTTGTAAATACTGTTTACACAAAGGAAACAACCAGCAGAAATGAGCTCAAAAGTAAAAAAAAAATTAAATAAATAAAACTGGATCTTTTAATCCCATGTTAGGTAAACAGGTCAGTCAGGCAGATTTCTTGTACATACTTTGCAATTATATATTAAAACGATGCAGTACGTTTACTAGATATATTTGTGAGCTAAGTTATTTGAGGTTAATATAGGTTTACGCTGGTGCACAAACTGCACTCGGACGACTTCTTCGTCACTCTGAACCTTAGTACCACAGGGGCCTATTTGTTGTGCCTAAAAATGTAGATTTTTGCCTGCAGGCTCAGATAATATTGTAAATCTCTACGGTCCAGAAGATGCTCAAATATTGTAGTCTTAAATAGAAAAAAAAAAATGTTATTTTTTACTCTCGTTTGCTTTTCTGGGGGTTAAAAAAAAGTTGTAAATTTATATCGCTGAGGTTTACTGAACACACTTTAGTGAATGTTAACAATTTGAGACAGTTTGGATGAAAGCAATTTGTTAGCACTGCTGTTGATTTCATGCAAATAACCAGCATCTGCCAGAGCTTTCGGTGTTTTCTTTCTGGTCTCAAAGGTCAGGTTTGATCCAAAGGAGCCCTCTGATGCTGTCTTAAAGAACAGCCTTACTTCTCTAACTCCGCCCTCTCCTACCTCTGCTTATTATTGTCTCTTTATACATTTAAGCTTCTTGATAGCACCTAATCTATGTTTCTTTACAGGTTTACTAAGTTTATTGTCCCTGAAAAAAGCCACTAAGTGTTAGATGTCTGATCTTAGCTTGTATATTTGCTCTTATTGCTGTACTAATAAACATTTCATCCTTAGTAGAGTTAAAAATGTGAATATGTGTCTGAAAACATGAGTTTATCCAATGAAGTCTGTTCATCGCAAGAGGCAGAAATTCAGAAAAAGGCAGAAGTTAAGAAATTTAAAATAGGGTCTAAAAAGCTCTGATAATAAATTGTAACGTGAGATATACAGTGCATCACATAATTATAGACAAATCCTGGTAAAGTTTTGTGTAAATTTTTTTCCCCCCCAGAATAAATTTTTTTTTCCTGAATATTTTCAGCTAGGATGTTTTTTTAGGAAATAAAAAAAAAAAACTACCTAGCTAAAACAATAGTTTTTACGACATTGATTGTATTCTTAATATAATAAGTGCTGCAATTAGTGTTGAACTTTAGACAGTATTTTAAATACAACTAATTTTCTTAAAATCATGTATCTTACTGCCCGTATGGGTGCAACTATAACAATTGGCTTTTTACTTCACATGGCCCCTCTTCAAAAGGGGGTAGACAAGAGAACATGCCATTTAAATAAGGCAGATATGTAGTGATTGTCATAAGTCAGGAAGTTACAAAAAAAAGATAATGTGGTTGCTTCAATGGGCCCATATATGCAGATAGGGAAATAGAAATTAAACTGGATTTTCTCTTACTGTTAAGAGAACTGCGGTCACTAAATGTCCTACATAAGGGTCATTTGGACAGATTGTCTTTTTCTCTCTTTATACTGATACTTTTTTTGATCCATGTGCATACAGATTAGTTAAATCTAAGTAATTTAAATAGAAAATTTTTTTAAAGCCAGATAAAAATGGATAGTCAAAGCCTAAAAAATGTATTTGCGTTTTAAACACTATGAAATTTCAGTTGCTTTTTTTATATTTATATGATTTAATTTCGTGGCAGATTAATCTGAAAAAGCTTTGACCAAAGTGTTTTAAAAAAACACCTGAAAAACATTACCTCAGAGAACATTCTTGATATTTACAATTTAAATACTTTTTTACACATCTTTACCAGGGATGAATATCTAATCTAATTTAGTTCAGGACTGTGTTTTTCCATTGAACCTTTTTTTCATTTTTTACCTGACTACAGTACAATAAAGACTTTGATAACATAAATTTTCCGTGAAAGCTATAGATTTTTTTTTTTGTCATTAACGTAATTTAAGTAATCAAATCTAACAGGAGTCAAATAAATTTGTTATCCCTAAGAAACTGCTTTTTTAGCTTTTGTGCCACACATTGCCTTTTTCTTACCAAACATACCATTATATTTACTATAGCCAAATTTGCCTTTGAAATGAAAGTGATATATTCAATGTTTTTCATCATGCGATGCTTTCACAACTATATATATATATATATATATATATATATATATATATATATATATATATATATATATATATATATATATATATATATATAATGTATAAACACAAGAAAGTCTACATATATTTGTGCTGGTCACTCACATCAGATTTTACTGTAAAAATTTTTATGTAGATTTACTCTAAAACCTAAAGAGCTGTACTAAGTAAATTATATCTTTACATTTTCAGATGATTGAATCTATGCATTGTATTCCTTAATTTTATGTTGCGGTCGTTATATTTGTTTTTTTGTTTTTTTCCCTTGAACTTTAAAAAAAAGATATTTTAATGTAACATAACGCTGTGATGTTTATGGTGTTGTTCCTGTCAAAGTCTTTGTTCCTTATAGTTTTTTTTTTGGGGGGGGGGGGAACAAATGAAGTTAATATAGAAAATAGATGATGCAGTGATCCATATGCTAAGCTTTTGTTAACTCTGCTGTTTTTATTGAAATTATCTAAGGTTTTTAGAAAATAGCGATGAAAAACAAATGACTTAAAAAAATGTTGTTATATTTGTATTTTTGAAATTAAAAACGATATTTATTCATCAAAGAAGCCTGTTCAAGAGGCCTGTTTTGGACCAATTTAGATATTGCACTTTTACTTGCATATATTACAAAAGACACCTCCTAACCAGAGGAAGAATTCCCAAAACATTGTTTAGACTCAGAATCTGTTACATTTACCTAAATTTGAAAAAAATAAACTGAAATTAAAAAGTCTGATCTGCAATGATAAGAAAATGTAATATTGTTTGATATCAATGTTTTCAGATCTAAATAAATGTGTTTCTGTGTTAAAAATGCATCAGAATTGTCATTCATTTCCAGAGACGCTTTATGCAAAAAGTTATTTAAAATCTTGGTTTGGCACAGCAAGGATGTCAGTATCCTTGATAAATACTTTGACAGTGAGCTTAAAAGGCTGTGTATCCTCCCGCAGCAGTGTGTTGCACTTAGCTTGTCGCAGGTATGACCAATTATGCCCAATTTTGAAGCATCATCTGCTGTATGTTAATTGACATCACAATGCAAGAGGGACAATCATGAACTAACTGTGGGTCTAGATACGGCCGAGGCGGTGAGGAAGTGAAAAAACGCAAGGGGCAAGTTTGTGCGTCTACGGAGGGACATTAGGGCAAAAAAGAGCAGGGATCCAGGTGGAAAAGTGGGTCCCAGTGTTCTCGTGCACCTCGCTCTTCTAGCTGGTCCAACTTCACGAGTCATTTTCCACAATGGCGGTCATACAAACAGCACAAGCCGGTAAGGTACCAAACAGGAAATATTTGACCAATCATAGGCCTCCTGCCTTCAGCACTGTTTGCCACCTACAATTTTGGAGAAATGCACCAGAGTGTCTGCAGAAGGGACATATCTGTTTTGACTACGACACGCGCAGAAGGCCTGGTTTCTGAGTATAAATCAGCCTTAAAGCTCACCGAGTTGTACCTCTAATCTACAGTGCTTTGGCAAAGTAATAAAATCCCCCTTTACCTTTTAAAATTCTTCTTTCTTTAAGGTTGTTTGTTAAAAATCAAGTTATTTACATACTGCTGTCAACTATTGTTTTAAAGAGACTGCACATATGCGTTAATTAGTCCCAGCATAAGCTTCAAGGATAGGTGAAAAACTAACCAAAGCCTTACCAATAAACACATTGTGATGGCAGCATCATGATGTGGGGATCAACTTCTTCAGCATGGGGTGGGACTATTTATAGCAGATATGGACATAGATGTAGATAAATACAAAGAAATGCCATGGTGAGTCTGCAGGAGTTATAGTTTCACAGCCAAGGTGTAGGAATTTGCTGGAAGGACAACCTTTGCTTTTGCACTCCACAAATTTGGCATTGTGGCAAGAAGAAAGCCATTGTTGAAACAAAGCTACAGGACATTTGGAGCATTTGTTTGTAAAAAAAAAAAAGATGCTGAGGATCATAATATATTTCAGGAAACTAGAAAGATGTCTTTGTCACACAGAGATAAAAGAGCTCTGCTCAATTTGAAGATTTAAGCCATATGCAGGGATTTCTTGTTCCTAAATAACACAAAATTCAATAATCATGCTCTGCTCCCAGTGCTGGCGTCTCATTTCTTTCCTATAATGATTCCTTCTGGCTTTTTCTTACAACCACATTCCGCACCATGAATCCCCTACCCATGAACTCAGTCACCCCAGACAGCACACTGCATAGCCTCTCTGACCCTTTTGCCTTTGACTTGTGAGTAAAGATAAGCTTAAATTTACAAGCCAATGTAGACTAGTCATCTAATAAGCTTGAAGGAAAAAAAAATTATATTCTATTGTCAACCTTTAATTGTGATTATTTTCAAACAAACTGCTGATTTCCCGCAGTGATAGAGAAGCTACAAAAAAAAACATTTACAACCTACCTGTGTAGGTCAGTTTAGGCAGCCACTTTCACAGAGGTTGCAAAATACATGCTTCACCCCTCATTAGTCCAGGAAATAACAAAGTGTTTGTATTTCTTTATACTGCAAAGAAATATGAGTCAAGTTTTTGTGTCAGAGCAAAGTAGGAGGGAGGCCCGAGCAAAGAAAATGCTTGTGAGCACACAGCTGAGGAATGTGGGCGTGGACTCCAGCCAAAAGCATATGTGATCCTATATCCCCCCGGGTGCCAGGAGACGAAATGCGGTTAGACGGCTGGGGCCGTGTCAGGACACAAACGTAGTATGAGGACGCATGATGACACAGAG